TGGCCTCCTCTCTGACCACCCTCTCTGCCCACAGCACTCTTTAACCTCAGAGCTCTCCAGGGCCTTTGTAGCAGCTTCCTTCAGCCTGAAACACCCCTTTCTGCCCTCCTAGGTTTTAGCATGGTTGGTCCTCCTCAGTTCAACCTTGTTATTGGTGCTGTCCATGACCCCCCCAGTCCAATCTAGTTCTTCTAGTCAGCTTCTATGGCATGGCCCTATCTCATTTTCTTTATGGAACTGCTCTTTATCCAAACTATCTTGTTAATTTAATTTGTTCACTTTTTTTGCCTTATTCTTCAAGGTAAGCTCCATTAAAACAAGGTAATTTCTGTCTAATCAATGCTGATTCCCCATTCTTAGATTCATGCCTAACACTCAGGATTATACATTTGAATGAATAAAGAAAGGACACAGTCTGAGGGGCGACGGAATGTTATACCCAGAATTGTGCTAGTATATTACCCCAGTTGGGAATTAGGGTGGTGGTGTTTGATAGGGGTGAGGGTTGGATAGGGGAGGAAGAGTATGGCCTTGAGAAATGGACAAGGGCCAGATGTTGGAGAAGCCCTTGGGCAATGCTCAGGTGTTTGCCCTTCATTTTGATGCCTATGGGGCTGGCTGCACTGGATAAAAGAATTCAGTGTGTTTACTGGAATGGTCACATTGGGGAAAAAAAAAGGATGTATTATGTGCTCTGTTTACATCTATAGGACAGCAAAGGTCATGCCATATTCAGATCATCCTTAACTTAAGTGAGTGTGAAAGATACCAAAAAATGAAGTCAAATTCAATGAAACTGTTTCATGCCATCTACTCGCTTCTTGAGTTGGGGGAACTTGGTGTAGCTGTTGACACATTTCTGAACAACAGAGCTAGAAGAAAAAGTTTTCCAAGTTTTGAGGTGTTATTTTTTCATGTATATGTTGTTGTTTGACAGAAAAAGGCTGTTAGGTTTGCCTTCAGTCTGAAAGAAAATGAGGATACGGAATTAAAAATAAAACGTGGGTGAACTCTGTGTTTGCAGTTCAAGACCCAGTGGCCTGGTCCAACCACGGAAATGAGATCTCTGCATGAGATAAGCTTCTCTTAAAGTGTGTCAAATGTGGGAGCCATTTAAAAATCTGAAAAAGATTGGAGAATTTCCTTTTTCTGCCTACGAATTTATCACCTTTCTTCCATTCTTCTTTGTACTTGGAACAGAAAGTTAACGTGCATAATACCTTCTTTTTTATTGAGCCATGGAGGAAGGTGAAAACAATGAACCTTTAGAAGCCAGAAGCCAGACCTGCCCCCAAAATAGGGGAGGGAAGGGAAGTCTGAGGCTGTTTGAGGAAATGTGAGCTCTGAGGGCCAATGGTTATCTAACAGGATGACCTCAGAGCTGTCTTTACATCTGCTCTAAAATGCTCATGCTGATGATGTTGGAGAGTACCTTTCTTTTAGGAGAAAGAAGGAAAATTTACCACCTGCCCATTAAGACCTGTTTCATAGTTAGATATTTACTAACAATTTTTAAATGTTTAAAATGATCACAAATGGATTGGGTAGGACACGTGGATGCATCCATAACTTTACTGTGTTTCTCTCCAAAACACATTTCATTTTTATTCATTCTGAACTGTTTACCATCCCAAGAGCAGTCTCTGTGCCAGTGAACATTGTCCTAAAAGGGCATATCCAAGATCACAAAGCCCTCCATGAAGATGCACCTGCCTATCTTTCTCTGCCCACAGGCCTTATCATTTCCTTATTAAAGGACACCCAAGATTAAGAGTGACTTTTAAGAATTGCCTCTTTTGTGCCAAGGGAGTCCCACCTTTGTCATCAGTTGATTATAGTTGCTTGGAAGCTTTTCGTTAGAAATAGTCTGCAGGAGGAAGTAGGCCAGGTAGGACAGTGGTTTGAAACCCATATGTTGGCAGAGATACAGGACTAGCTGGACCCAGGCAGTGCCCTGTGCTGCTCCCGTTCCAAGTGGCCACTGTCACTTAGCCCCCATCTTCCAAATGTACGAGGTTCTTGGGCGCTGGAAATTGCTGGATGTGGACTACCACTGCAGTGACTGTAATGTAAGGTGACCACACGGAGGGCTGGATTCCCCTGACCCCCTAATCATCTTGCGGGCCATCCTGAACTTAGACGGCTTGAAAAGAGCACACTCACCGAGAAGTCGTCACTGGGGAAGAAGAGGAGATCTCGGAGGGGATCATTCTGATGCGTCTTTTCAAGTTCTTCAATGATAGTTTCATAATCCAAAGGCTCGGGAAGCCTGGGTTTTTCTTGCTGTAGAAAAAGAAAACATAATATTAACCACTGACACATACAATCTTCTTAATGCCTGGTTGGGTTTCATGTCTTAGTATCACCAAGGCTTTGACATTGTGCAACCTTCCAATAGCTTCACAGAGACTCCAGGCATTTAGGGCAAAGCCACATAACTGTTATTTCCAGATCTCAAATAATAGGAGAAGATCCTGAAATATGTGACATCTCATTCAGTAATTCAAGCTGTTTACTGAGTCCTAGCACACCCATAGACTATAGTTCTATGTAAACTTTACCTTGTCAATGGGAAGAAAGGTCTTCTGTTACTTGCTATAGTGTTGTGATGATCATCATCACTTTTGCTGAATTAGATACTTCCTTGTGAGGTCTACTTGAGTGTATTCCAAAATGTTGGCTCCCTGCTAGCAATCAAAGTATCACAGGCTGTCTTAGTTGTCACTGAAGCATGGATCCTGTGTCAGAATTAATTGCTTGGCTCTGAGCCTTTTTGCCTCAACAGAGAGAAGCTGGATGATTCTCTAACAGAAATGAACAACATAACTATTATGGACACAGTGTGGTGAAAGTGGAGAAGAGTCTGAAAATAGCCGTATAATCACACTGCATTGAAGACGTGAAGCTGAAGCCCTGGCTGTGTAGCTCATTGGTTAGAGCAATGCCCTGCTGGGCCAAGGTTGCCGGTTTAATCCTGGTTCAGAGCACATACAAGAATCAACCAATGCATGAATAATTGAAATAACAACTAGACCCCCTCTCTCTCCCCTGCTCCTCCCCCACCCCTCTCAAGTGAATACAAATAAAATAAAAAGAAAAAGTCCTTAGGCTGAAAAGAATGGCACTTCCTTCAAATAAGCTGCCCATAGCACCAGAAAGATAAAGACAATGCTAGTGGGAGAAGGTGTGATTGTTTCATTATACCGTTGGTGTGTTAAACGATGGAGCCCAAAAAAAGAATAACACATCACAGAACATAAAACCAAGGACACAACTAAGTTCCCTTGGCCCTTTGATGAAGCATTTATATTAACACAAATAAGAAGAAATGGCTGTTTGGATTATTTTAAGGCTTGGAAGCTGGAGTGGTCACCATGAAATTTGTATGCTAAAGTGATCTTGTAAATGAAAATAAAATTTGTGTGTTTTTTTTTTTCACGACAATGACATCAACAGTTCCCCACTACCCTCGCTCCTCCCCAGTCTGCAAGGCACACAAATTTAGCTTCCATTTCTAAGGCCTTTTTTGAAAGATCTCTGCTGCTAAAGCCCCAGAAATCTTTATTGACGTTTTAATAATTTCTAATGCACTCCTCAAAGTAGCAGTCAATGTTTATTTTGATGATTTCCCAAATATAAAAAGTGAAACAAAACAAAATGTAACACAATGGGCCAGTAATAAAGATTTCCATGTACTTTCTGCATCAAAATAAAACAAAAGGAAAATAAACCCATTTTACAAATCCTTAAATAAATCGAGGAGAATGTAAAGTGAATATTTTCTCTGGAAAGGGTCCTTTAAGTAAGATTGCTAGATGTAGCAAATAAAATTCAGAACTCCATGCAATATTTGAAGAAAAGAAGAAATTTAGTTGCCCAACATAATCTACTGAGTGGAAGAGCTATGAAACTTGTCACATTTTGAAGTAGAAGAAGTAGAGACACTACAGCACCAACAGAGTAATTAAAAACAAAATCTTCCTAAAATCAGTATCTTTTAATAAAAATTATGTTATTTAGACTTGTTTTAAGTTACAATTTCCTATTTTCCCAGTCAAAGGTCAATTCTAAGGATTACAAAATGATAGCTCAAGAGACATGCAGATCCCAGATATTTGGTTTGGTGCAAACATTTATTTCACTTTATTTTTTCTTTTTTTGTCTTTATTGATTAAGGTATTGCATATGTGTCCTTATTCCGTCCCCGCGCCCCCCCTCATGCCCTCATCCCCCTGTTGTCTGTGTCCATTGGTTAGACTTATATGCATGCATACAAGTCCTTTGGTTGATCTCTATCCCCCCCCCCCCTCCGCTCATGCCCTCACCCCCTTGTGTCTGTGTCCATTGGTTAGGCTTATATGAATACATACAAGTCCTTTGGTTGATCTCTCCCCCTTACTTCCACCCTCCCCTACCTTCCCTCTGAAGTTTGACGGTCTGATCGATGCTTCTCTGTCTCTAGATCTGTTTTTGTTCATCACGTTATTTTTAGTTGGCTTTGAATGCCTTTCAGGGGTGGTATTTCACTCCAGTTCAGCTATGGATCTTCGTAGTACTTTTCTATTACCTCTTACCCTGCAAAACCATACATTGATTTTACCAACTGCCCCACAAGGCCTTCAAGTCTGAAACACCAGGCTTACTCTAGAATCTCTTTCCTACCCTAATAAAGTTTTGGCATATTAAACATAGAAAATAAAATAGAATGTATTGTAAAAGCATCAGACAGTTCTTATCTCAGCCACAGATTTGGTTGGTTATGTCTCTTTCCTTTCTTGTGTTTTCAGCTTAAGTGTGAGCCCTTTGGTCTCATAAGCTGGTGGCATAACTACTAGCACTTTCCTTCTCTCTTTTCTTCACACCATCATGTGAGAATGTGGCTCCTTGTGTGTTGCAGTTGATAGATTTAACGGCAAATGGCATCAAGATGTTTTAAGAGGCCTCCTACATTCTTGTTTGCACTGTCTTTTAAATTTCATCTCCCATCAGCTACAAACTACAGCATTAATAAATAAGCTGGAGACTAGAAGACCTTCAAAGAAGACATTTTACTAGGGCACCTAAAGTGAACGCCACCTAAATTCATAGAATAGAAAAATTAGAGTTCGCAAGTCACAGGTTATCAATAAAACCATAGAAAAACTAAATCCTTAACTCTCCTTGTTATGCCCAATAAAAGGCACAGCTTACAACAGATGTAAGCATCTATTGGAAGGTAAATTTTCATTTATTCATTTCAGGATAGGACATACCAGTCAATCAATAAATGACATTTTCTAAGATTTTCCTGTTTAAAATGCTGCACTGAGGTGATTTTGACACGAAGTTACAAAACCTAGCAGATCTGCTTCATTTCATGTATTCAGTCTTGACCTCTGGGCAGAGATATATTAGTTGAGTGCTTTCTTTTCAAGGAACTTGTTAATCAATGTGCAATTTTCAGGATATTCAATGCATTATAATTTTTGTGGACAGGAGGGTTTTTGTGTTTTTTAAAATATATTTTTATTGATTTCAGAGAGGAAGGGAGAGGGAAAGATAGAAACATCAATGATGAGAAAGAATCATTGATCAGCTGCACACCCCACACTGGGGATCAAGTCCACAACCTGGGCATGTGCCCTGACCAGGAATCGAACTGTGACCTCCTGGTTCATACGTCAACACTCAACCACTGGGCCACGCTGGTCGGGTGGACATGAGGTTTAAAAATGCAAATAACAATGATATATGTCATAGCATCTAGAGCCTGGGATCTGGCAGTGTTTGCCATGAATGCGTTATGATCTGTGATGGTGAGAATCCAGGCTATGGATCCCATAGTTCTCTCTGGTGCAGGAGAGCTATTTTGTTCAATACTTCAGTCAAAGAGACAGAAGTATATAAGGGTGGTGGGATAAGTTAATTTCTCACTACAGCTGCTTGCAGAGACACTGAGTAAAACTGGGAACTGAGCAGCATTGATTTATAGCTTTACAACGGTTGGGTTTGTCCCTCCAGAATTTAATGTGCCTCTTTCTTCTGGAAATGCACCAACTGGGAGGAGGCATGTGCCAAGACTGCCCTGAATTGGATTGGATTTTCATAGTGCTTTTTACTCTCACTCTCTTTCTCTCAAATGAGTAATGAATTTCATTCGCTATTCTGAAACCACTCCAGGCCTGGGAAAAGGCACCCACCAGTACTGTTATTATGCAGCAGGGCTGGTGTTGCACCACAGGGGTAACAGGCACTATTCTTCCTATACAGTATTAAGGGATTTGTTTGTTCCACTTCCCCAAATCCACAGCTCTCCTCCAATTCAACTTCACAGCAGAAGAATGGGATCCTGTCACCAAAACAAATGCTCCCTTCCCTTCTACTTATTCCTCACTTCTCATGGATTGCCAACACAATGTCTAAGTCCTAGAGTTGGTCAACCTGCCATCTTTGTAACAGCTAGTACTGCCAAGAGTCCTTTAATTGGTTTGGAGTAGTCGCTGGTCTATGCCTTAGCTAAAGATTCCAATTGCAAGAACATAGTGTCCATTACAAAGATCTGAATTGCTTTCATAATTGTAATTAAATATCAAATGGGTGAAAAGACGTGGAGGACTAAGCATTTGAAGTATGTAACACTGAACAATTACATGATTAAATCATCAACCTAGACCTGCCTCCAGAACAGAAATACGATCTAACTAAAAAATAAGCTGGACTATGGAGCTCTGCTGTAGAAAAGTCCAAAATGAAAGGAAGAGTGTGATTATTCTGTATTGAGATGCAACTGAGAGTGTAGCATGCACTCTAGAATGAATGTTATGGGGTAATATTTGTATGTCTTAGAACTGTACCACATCCACAGTGCTCATCACATAAGTGCCAAGTTTTAAATTTGCACTAACCATGGGTTTAAAGTACTTCTATTGTAAATTTAATGTGTACAAAGAGCAAAGAGTAGACACTCAATAAATATTTGTTGAGTTAATAAGTTTATATCATTTCATGCAGGAATTCCTCTTCTGGGACTCAATTTAAAAAACAAAAACCAATCACATATATAATCAAAATTTATACAAAATTGTCTTTGCAACATTATCTTTGTAACAAGATGGGAAAAATATATTCACCTTCATCCAAGATAGATAAGAAAGGCAGGCAGGCTGGTAGGCACTATATCCAAAAAGTGAAGACACCATAACTGCTGCTCAAAAATGTGTGGTTTATATTTTTCAAAGAATTGTGTGTCATGGAGAGAGACTTAGTGCTACAATGGGCTCTGGGAAGGGCACTGAAAATAGGGT